CTTCTATCTAATGTAGAAGATTGACTACATAAGGAGAGCCCTTGCATTAATTGAGCATTTTGATTTCTTGTTAAACTTAGCCTAAAATAACTTGATCAACATTGTCATTTGAATCTTTAATATCAATTCGTTTGATAGCATACCTCTTGTTAGTTGATTTTTCCTTTGGTAATACGACTAATCCTTGAGCTCCTTACCCTAAAAATCTGAATTCATCACATCCTTTTTGCGATAATTCGCTCTTCATATTTTTGTAAACCATATTCTAGGTTTTACTCAATGTAGGTTCATTAATATCAGAAACTTTTAGGATTTTTAGAATAAATAATGATTAATTCAGCTTAAACTTAAAAAATATTAATTGATAGAAGGCCTTAAATTTCAAAAATATGATAATCTAATAGTTGGATATCATCAAATAATTATGTAATTAAAAAAATGCAATTTACAAAGCAACTCTTATTTTGAAGCATTTTAATACCCTTATCTGCATACATCTATCTAATTTTCTATATATTTTGGATATGCTGAAGTAGCTTCAACTTTACCATTTCGTGTTGCTATTGATTTTAGCTGATTTATTCCATTAGATCTACCTTATTTTACTAATTATTCTTTACCCTATTAATTTATGAAAATTGAACATATTTTCAAAAACTTATTTATCTATATTTATAAAGCAAATAATTTTTTATTTAATGCCAAAAATAATTAATTTATATTATATATTGCTAATAGATAATCTAAAGGATTAGATTTAAACCAATAAAATCTATTTCAAAAATATTTTTGTCCGTTCGGTACAAAATAAGGTTGAACTTGGAGACGTGTTGCAACTAAGTCAAAATTATATTTAGGTCAGTTTTTTCTCCTCTTTCACTTTTAACCGAGGACTTTTTCATAATTTAATGTCCATAACAAAATAAAATTAAAATTTAAAAATTCGATACCTCTATATTCAATAAATAAATTTAATATGCAGCCCTATGCTAAAGGGTTAATTATTCTATCATTTATTGCAAAATTAATGTTTTTTTATTATAATTTTAAATTTATTATGTATAATATGACTAATAACAAATAAATATTATATTTGCACATGAATTTATTTATTATTAAAAAATATTTTAGCACATGCATATATAATGAGAAAATCAATAGTTTTTTTGATAAGAAAAAGATATAAAATTAAAAAATAGTTAGTTAGTTAGTTAGTAAATTTATCAAAAATCAATTCAGATTTTCATAGAAAAATTAGTAAGAAAAAATTCATCAAAACGAATGAATGAATGATCAATTGTAAACTTTTTGCAAAATGAATGAACCTTAAGGAAATAAAAGGAATATTTGTTAAATGAAATCATAGTTATATAAGTAAGTATTAAATGGGAATGAAGAATACAGATTTTATGAAAAAATGAATGTATAACCAAATTTAATTTTTCATATAATATTTGAATGAAATTTATCCATTGTTATATGATCACTAAAGTGATGAAATTAACAAAATGAATAAGATACATTCATTTATTTTGTTAATTAATTAATTTTATAAAAATATCTTTATTTATAAAAGTCAACATAATTGATTTGAAAAACAAGAAAAAGTAAAACAAACATCTTTCCTATCTTTTTTAATTAATTGTTCATAAATTCAATTATTATTATGAGCTTATCTAAATTCTAAGCAAAACTATTTATAAAACCATTCATTTAACACCATGATATTTGAGCGTGCCCATTAAAATTTAGGTAAAAACTCTAGCTAAGAAGGACTTAAATTTTTCATTTTACTTTTTAGGTTTTTCAGCTATTTATTCTTCTTCTTCTTCATTTTCATCATCAACATCCGAATCTTCGATTATGATCTTTTCTTTATAGACATAGAATTGATTGTAAACGTCAACAAGACATGGACAAATGCTTAATATTCCTAAGTAGATCGAACTCTTTCAAAACTGACTCTTGCTCATTCGGTTAACTTCAGTTGCATCGAACAATTTTTAATTCTAGTTGTTTTTTTGAGAAATGTAGTGAGTGTTTATAATACTTTATAAAATTTTAGAAGAACATAAAGATTCTATTATTATCGATACTGCAACCCTAGGTTTTTTTTGCTATTTCTTCAATTTTTTACTATATGTTCATTTTAAGATTTGTTGTTTGGTGACTATTGAATTTTGCTTACTTAATCTAGATATTTTTTGCTGACATTTAATAGTTTTTGATTATAGTTATTACCTTTTCTTAATTAATATGATAAAGATTTGAAATAAATAGATTGTATTTCAACTTAAATATTCTACTAACTTTAACTAAAACCTTCATTGTTTATGTAATGAATTTAAATCTGCAAATAGCAGTCAAACTCATTGCTTTTCCTATAATTAAATTAAATAAGCTTGCCATATTTTAGATCTTTCTAATATTTAAATACAAAGTAAATATAGTAAGTAAATAAAAAAAGTTATTCATAATATATCCAAATCAATAGGAATTAAATTCAATATGGTATTCGTTTATTGTCAGCAAATAGATTAATAGTAGTAAATATTTTAAGAAAAATTCTATTTAATATAAAAAAATTTTTATATTTTTGTAAAATATACTTATTCTAATGAGTAATTAAAATATTATGTTATAAATTTTATTGCTACAAAATGGCTGGAATAAATGAAGAAAAAATGGCTGAAATATAATTAATCGCTTTCTAATTTAAATATAAAAAATACTAGCATAGTTATTTAAAATATATTTTTATTCTAAAATATTTAAAAAATTTATTTGTTTTATCGCTAAAAATAATTTAGGATATAATATATTTAGTTGACAGTTAAATTGCCAGTTTAAAGGTACTTATATTCTTTTTAAAGTAAAAAAAATATTAAATTATTTTATAAATTAAATAAAAGATAAATATTTTATCAAAAATTAGTTTTAGCTTTTAAAATAAAATTAATTTATCGCTGTTAATAAAATAAGTAGAATTATTTATTTATATTAAAAAATAATTTTTTTTGTATAGGCTATTATACAAAATATTTTAATTTGCATTAGATAACAATTCTATTATAAAAATGAAATAGATTATAATATTATTATTATTATTATTATTGATTTGAATTATTATCAATTAGCTTTAATTAAAAAAGATGTTAGTATATTTGTAGATCAGTGATTAGGCACTTTGGTTAATTGAAAAGATATTCTGATAAGAATAATCTTTTAAAATAATCAAAATATCATTAAATATCTTTATTGTTTTTTGCTTTCGCTCTATATTTAATTGCTATCACAAAAATGTACAGTAAAACATGTCAAAATTTGGAGATAGTTAAAATGAACAAAAGTTTTAATCATAAATTTAACTTTTTCATAACAAAATCTGTCAATATGCTAGAAATATTTACTTTTAAGGAAAAATATTGCTTCAATAAATACATGGTATTAACAAGCATCGCTGTAAAAGCATATTTTAAGATTAGTGAATAGGATCTTTGATTAGATAAAATTAACTAAAAAACAAAAAATTTTGATAAAAACTATACAATCCTTTCATTTAATAACAATATTAATTAATAGGACTTTTAGTCTATTTTTCCTTTTACAATATTTTATCTAATAAAAAGAAAAGTTGTTAGTATATTTAATAAATAATAAGCAATAGCTAAACAATATTGTCATTTGACAACAAGTAAAAAATAAGTAGCTAATATCTTTTACTTATACTTGATTTTCAAGTATGTTTTATATGTAATATATTATATTTCATAAAAGCTTTAAAAAAATTTATAAATATTAAAATTTAAAAGATTTTACAATAGTAAATACATACATTTAAAGTTAATTTATTTTAAAACCCACTAAGTAGTATATTTATATATATCTATTTACATATTTATTTATCATTCATATTATTGTAATTATTTAGAGATAAATTTTATATAATACAATACTATGTTAATATACTTTCACATAAAAAAATGATTATTTTAAATAATTTATAAAATATATTATAAATTTAAAAAGATGCTATTTATATATGTTGCTATCTTATCTGTTAATAATAATAATCTAAAAATAGAAAGTTATTAGTATATTTGAAAATTAATTAAGATATCTTCTTGATTTTTAGCCAATTTCTATTGATAGGCAGTTTTGCTCTAATTTCTTTTATTATTAAGCTGATTCTCCTCTTTATATAGAAGAAACAAAGTGGTTTTGATATATATAAATTTTACATCTCTATAAAAACCTCTGTTTTTAGTAAAAAAGCAAACCCCTCAGCCTACTTTAAGTAAGTCAGTACCCCAGTTAACAACCCCAGTCGCATAGCGAAAGTGAATAGCAAAATGTCTAAGAAAGTTCAAAACGAATTAATCGAAACTATCTCAATCAAAGTATCCAAAGAATGCTAAATTCAAAGATCAGCAATAAAGGAATTAGTCAAGTTGATGTTCAGCTAGAAAAAATACTTCAAAAATTTTGAGTACTTAAGCAGTGGCGCTTATGCTCTTCTCTTAAAGGCTTAGAATTCTTAACAGAATCGCCAAGTAGCTCTCAAATTCATAGGGAGCTCAAACCAAGAGGACAAGAATGGAATTGAATCTTTGAAAAAGGAGTATGAAATGCTTCAAAAGTTTAGCCAATCAGAATTTTTAGTAAATGTATATGATTGCTTCTATTTAATGGAAGAAAAAGAAGATGAAGATGCTGATGGAAACGATATTATCGTTTAAACTGAAGTAAAATCCTTCTTTGTAATGGAAATGGAGCTTTGCGAGAGTAAAAAAAATCACATATTTTTCATCCATTTTTTTTTATATTTCATTTTTTTAAAAACGTCTGAAAATACATAAAATAAGATACATTTATACTTTTTATTGACCTGGCATGGCTTACGCATCACCATTTTAAAAATAGGTAATTATATTTTTTTTTCTAAGTCTTTTTTTGGTTTTGATAGTTTAATTAAAAAATAATAGATTTGCGCTAAGCAGATTTAATTAATTTAGAAAATGTAATAGAAATTATTTAATTTAATATAAAAATGTTAATTTTAATTAATCTTTTAGGATTCCCCATAATTAAGAATTTTTCATTTATTTTGATTAAATTTTTCAAAATTTCTTAATTAAACCTTCTAGAAGATTAATCTATCAAAATTTTATAATCTATTTTCCCAATATAATAATTTAATTTTTTATTAAAAATTTTTTATAAATATTTGTTTTTATTTTTTACATTTTAGATAATTAAGTAAAAAAGTTATAGCAAAATACTATTAAAAAATCTAGTTGTTTGGAAACGACTAGATAAATGAATGACATTATATACATTTATTTATAAATAAGTAATTGTTTAGCTTTGCTTAACTCAGCTAAGAAGCTAATTAAATAAATGACATTCATTTATCTAGTCGTTTCCAGAATACTGATTTTTGAATGGCATTTTGCTATATTTAATTTAAAAATATGAATTAGTTATTAACTAAAAAATTAATTAATATTAACTATCCATCCAAAATTTTATTACTTATCTTAAATTCAAAAAAATAAAATTTTAAAACAAAAAAAATCTTTATAACTAAAAAAATTTTAAT